GACACAGTAACAACAAAGTCTCCAATGGAGACGTTACTGGGCCCGCTCGAGCAAATCGACGATCAACGGGAGGGCCTTTACCTTTTACCTTATGGAAAAAAATAAAAGCATTCTCCTAGACTTAATTCAAGATATCAAACATGATCCTCCTTAAATGTAAAGTAAAAGACTTCAATCTAATATGGCTGGAATAGGAGAAAGCATATGGAACATAAGCATTTAAAGTGTATGGTCTGCTGTAAATTGTAACTACTGATCAAATACGTGTAAGTTTAAATAATGCAATCGTTAGATAACAGTACGTCAATAACTTGCAAAAAGGGAAATGAATTAGTGATTAAAACACTTCTGGAACATGGAAAATGATTAAAACTGTTTTGAACTGATAAAATTATCTAAAACTACAGGTATAGAATACACGAGACAGGTAGCGCACCTAAAAAAAGCAATAGACCAGTCAGCCTGAGCTTCAAAATAATAAATAATCCAAATAAATGAAAAAATTATGGGTGAGAAATAGAGAAGTGAAATTTTTGCAAGTAACCTACCAACTCTGTGGCTATAAATATTGATAGTTGGGCATCTATCCCACATAGAAACATATGGATGACCTATCTCCATTCCTCTCTTCAATGAACCATAATTTTCATTAGTTATCTGCTCCATCTCCATGTATGAATTCATTCATGCTAGATACTGATAAATCCTAGCAAACAATGTTAAGTAAACCTCCTTTTCCCTCACCAGTGACAATTAAGCATGGGCACAAACCACTGGAGGAATTCTGAGGGCTTCTCAGCTCGTCAGAGAGAAGTCTAAGAAATGGCACCAGGAATATGGTCAACGGGTTACGGTTTGATCCCCATAATTACACACACTAAAATTACAAGAAAGATCAACTCTTAGATAATAAGCAGATTTAGATGTGAAGCCTTGGCTGCCAAGGTCAACTATCCAGCAAGCATAAAGGAAGCATCTTGAGTACAGAGTCCAGACAAAGAAAATACCAGAAGGAAAAAGAAAAAGACCGGGTTCTCTTTAAGGACAGCCGTGAGTCACAGGATATATACGGTATCTAGAGCCAACCTGTCTGGATTTTTAACTAAAACTTTAAAATTCAAAAGAAAGGTCAGAAAACAAAAAAGTCAAGTAAATCTCCATGGATCAAAAGTAAAAATAGGAAACATAATGATAATCTGACTTGGAGATATATTATACAATCAATAGTTATTTTAAAAAGAGTAGGAAAAAATGGGGGAAAAAAAACAAAGAAAAATGACCAAAAATGAAAGAAGGATCTTTAAGTTTAAGGTAAGGACCCTATCAAAAAACAGTAACCAAAAAAAGAATGAAAAGAAAAAACAAACTGAGTTATCATTTTGAAATTTAAAAGGAAATAGTTTACTAATAAGTCAACATGTATCTGAATAATATGCCACAAAGGAACCAAAAGCACATAATATAGTCATGAAAGTTAGCAAGTGATGCTTGGAAAACTACATACAAAAGAATAAAACTAGTGCACTATTTAACCCCAATCACAAAATTTAATTCAAAATTATCAAGTCTTGAATGTATGACCTGAAACCATAAAATACTTAAAAGAAAACACAGACCCTATGCTCTTGAAACAATGACCTTAGAGATATCTTCAGAGACTTGATTCCAATAGCAAGAAATAAGAACAAAGTAACTAATGAGATTACCTCAAACTAAACAGTTTCCCTACAGCAAAAGAAACTATCATTGAAAGACAAGATATCCTACAAAATGGAAGCAGATACTTGTAATCCATACATCTGACAAGGAGTTAATAACAAAATATGCAAAGAACTCATTCAACTCTACAACCAACGCAACTGAATTTAAAAATGGGCACAAGATTGAAAAGACACTTCCCCAAAGAAGAAATAAAGAAGAAATACCATCAGATATACCAAAAGATACCTCTTATTAGACTAATACAAAGAACCTCAGACCTGTAAGAACAGCTACTATCCAAAATGCAAGAAACAAGCACTGAAGAGGAAATGGGGAGAAGATAATCCTTGTATACTGTGTGAGATGTAGCCACTGTGGAAAAATGGTACTGTGGAATCTATCACGCTCCTCCCGTTGTTCACCGATTTGCTCGAGTGGGCCCAGTAACGTCTCCATCGTGAGGCTTGTTGTTACTGTGCTTGGCATATCGAATATGTCACGGGGAGCTTGCCAGGCTTTGCCGTGCGGGCGAGATACTCTCGGTAGCTTGCCGGGCTCTCTGAGAGGGGCGGAGGAATTGAACTCGGGTCAGCCATGTTGGCTGCATGCAAGGCAAACACCCTACCGCTGTGCTATCGCTCCAGTCCATGGTACTGCAATTTCGAAAGAAAGAAAGAAAGAAAGAAAGAAAGAAAGAAAGAAAGAAAGAAAGAAAGAAAGAAAGAAAGAAAGAAAAGAGAAAGAAAATATTCCATGTAAGGCAGTTGTCTATAAAAGACAAAAACACCATGCGTCCCAATATCATCACAGTACTAGCCAAGAGTTTGAAACAATCTAAGTAGTGCCCATCAACAGATTACTGGCAGGTATGTATGTAAGTGGCAGGTATGTATGTAAGTACATGAATAGCTACCCAGCTATTAAAAACACAAGAGATGAAATATAGCCCTTTGCAACAACACGGGTGGACCTATGCCTAATGAATTAAGTCAACAGGCGAAAGACTGCTAATATTATAAGTGATATGGTTGTGGGGCTAGAGCAATAGTACAGTGGATAAAGCGCTAGCCATGCACATGACCAACCTGGGTTCAATCCCAAGCTCTGCCAAAGTGAGCCAAAGAGAACCATGCTCTCCCTACTCCCTAAAAAAAATGGTATGGTTGCAACATAATGCATAAGCCTAAAAGTGCAACGGAATCAAGTTTTAAGTAAAACTTGATTTTACTTATTCTTTAAGTAAAGAATAAGTTCATGTAAAGAATAAGTTCGTGTGTGTATAATGAAAATGTGTGAGAACTTCATATGGACTAAAAAAGGTTAGTAAATGGGTGGAATTATGACTATTTTTCCCTTTCTGTTACTTTGTTAAGTTTATAATAATTAGGAAACAGTGGTTATTTCCTTTTTGGAAAGATAACAGAACAACAACAACAACAAATACAGTACTGAGGAATTTCACACATCAAAGGATTCATGGTCTTACTGCTGGGAACTAAGAGAGATAAAGGAGAACAAGAGGGACAGTGTATGGAACCTTTACACTCAGACTGCTGGCACCTCTCACACCTCCGCACCCCTAATGGAATGCTGCTCCAGCAGGGGTCCTAGAGCTCTACTCCCAAAAGAATCTCCCTTGAGAAAGTCAGTTACAAAGATGTTTGTCCCCCATATACAGGATGTGTGAAAGTCTAGTCCAGAGAGCTTAAGATAGGCATTTGACCACAGGCATATCTCCTTCTGATGATTACTGGATGATTATTGGTTCTAAGCAAGAAATACTGGCTGTGAGGCTGTGAGGCCCCTGACCCCAGGCATTTTCTGCCTCTTTTCTTAATCCTTGTAGCATTCTTACTTCAGGTCTGTTCATCTGGAGCTGGTCCCCTGCAGTTTACTACCTGGTTTTTTTACCAAGTCAACACCCTGCATTCATATACTAGTTTTTTCTTTAAGTATTTTCATGCATTATCTCAAATGCCTAAGTTTTTTCAAACCAAGCTTAAGCATAATTCATGAGCTTTAAGTAAGTTCTAGTCCAGTCTTTGTAAATATACCTGGGCACTTATTGTGTTTATAAAAACCCATTTATAAAACCTAAGCATATGTAATTTTCAGTATCATAAGACTTCTGGTAGTATACTACAGTTAGTCCACATTTCCTATAAGTGTCTGAAACACAAACAGCACAATATGAATAAGCTATTCAATAAGCTATTATAGGAGAATACTGTATGGTTTCATAGCAAGTACTGATCACCTGCTATGCATCATTCTTAGCTGAGAATAAAACACAGTCCTTGTCATCAACTCAAAATATTGTAAAATACAAAAACATGTGTATTGACCATTAATGAACAGAATTATCTAAAAGCAACAAAGAATTACATAAAAGAAAATTCATTACTTTGCGGAAGTAAAGAAAAAACTCACAAAAGAAGTGATAACCAAGGAAATTTTTGAAAATGTACTAAGCATTCACCCGGCAGAGGGGAAATTGGGGGATGGCATGCCAAGCACAAGAACAGTGCAAAAGTACAAAATCGTGACACACTTTTGGGAACTGGTTTAGAAGTGAAGTAGAAGCGCTCCATCTAGAAGTCCTGTTAGAGCACTATGAGATCCTTGTGGACCATACAAAGGAGTTTGGACTTTTAGAGCTTGAATTTTAGTTAGGACTTATACTTCTTTAAAAAGTCATGTGTGAGGGAGGGAGGAAAGAAAAAGGGAGGGACGGTTTTGGTTTTTTGTTTTGTTTTTACTTTTTAATTGAATTACTGTGAGACAAACCCTTACAAAGCTGTTAATGATTAGGTTTCAGTCATACAGTATTCCAAAACCCATCCCTCCACTAGTGTACATTTCCCACCACCAGTGCCCCCCAACCTTCCCTCTACACCAGATGCTTTTCTCCTTTTCTCTCTTCTCTCTCTCCTCTCTTCTCTCTCTTTCTCACTCGCTCTCCTTTCCTCTCCCTCTACCTCTCCCCCCTTTTCTTCCCTCTCCCTCCCTGCCCCCCCACCCCGGGCATTGTGGTGTGCAATATTGATACTGAAAGGTTATCAAGAATTTTCCTTTCCTTTACCTACTTTTAACACTCAGATCCTGAGGGAAGTTTGTGTTTTAGAAGAATACCTCATTTTGATGACTTGTGTAATGAATAGACCAGACTAAGGAAATGACCACTAGAATATTTGAGAGCTCTTAAATGACACAAATGATTTTCACACTGCACTAATCATTTTTAAAAACAATTTGTATTTTTAAATGTGCTTTTGCTTATCTACAGAACAAATGCTTACCGTCGTCTTTTGAAGGGTGACTTTGGCATATCTGCTGTGGGGATCATCTGCTCTCCAGGCCGCACCCACATAATAGGTCCATCATCACTCTGGGACCTACACTGGAGCCGGAGGCTAGAAAGCGTTCCCCAGGGCAAAGTCATCTACAAGGTGACAAATGCATCACATCAACAAAAATATTTTTATACTATTTACCAGTTAACATCCCACCCGAAAGTAAGCTCTTGGAAGTTAATTTTGTACACATATGTAAAAAACTGTATTACATAGTCATTTATACTGAAAGAAAATAATGCACTTTATGCAAAAATTTTCTCAACATTCAATTTTCATAACACTGAGTAAATTTTCATTTTAAATGAAAAGATTAGCTTAGCATTTTTTTAATGCAAAGTGTTCTCTTAGTAACAATCTAAGGGGCAGGGAGCAATAGTACAGAGAGAGGGTAGGGCATTTGCCTTGTATGTAGCCAACCCAGGTTCGATTCCCAGCATCCCATATGGTCCCCCAGCACCTCCAGGAGTTATTCCTCAGTGCAGAGCCAGGTGTAACCCCTGATCATTGCTGGGTATGAACAAAAAAAAAAACAGAAAAAAATAAATAAAACCCTGAATAAACACTCACTTTCAGAAATGGTGATTCTTCTAGCATATCAAGGAACTCTGGGAAGTAATCCCCAACTTCTTCATCTACTGCTCCAACAAGACTTATCTGCCGCATAGGGCCTGCTCGGTAGGTGCCGCAGCAGTACGTCCTGTTGACCTGAGATGAGAGGAAAGAGAGGAAGGACGAAAATAAACTATAATATCATTTTTAAGGTAGGAAAGGGTATTGTCTCGAATGTCGTTATTTCTCTATACTAAGAACTCACTGGTCAGTATCTCGGATGAAGTCAACAGTCACTAAAGACATGCTAGATGCTACTGTGCTACAAAATGGAATTTCAAGTGGAAGTTAGTCTAAGGTTCCAACATCGCAAAGAAATACTGAACCCATTAACATACTTAAAAACTTCTTTCAGGGTGATTTTTGATCTTTATAAACATTTTAGGTGATCCTTGTTTAAGAAAAAACAAGTCAGTAATAAGCAGTGAAATTGGCAGAGAAGAGGGAAGCCCATAGTTAGCACTCTCCCTACCTAACCTGAAAGTCTTCAGAGCAGGCCAGGCTGATTCTAAGCAAACTCAACTGTCCGTTACTCCCATAAATGATCTGTCACCCTAAGCAAACCGATCTTTTTCTCATGAAACTCACTTCTATTCTGCAGTGACTATTGTCTTAAATTTGCCCTTCTTGGAATGTTCTCTTTCTGGTCAACTCAAATCTTATGCTGGTTTTGGGCCACACTGGTGGTGCTCAGGGTTTACTCCTAGCTCTGTGCTCAGGAATTACTACCGGTGGGAGTTGGGGGAACTTATGATTGCCAGGGATCGAACCCGGGTCAGCCATGTACAAGGCAAATGCCCTACCACTGTACCATCTCTCCAGCCCCAGATTTTATCTTTTAAATATCAACTCAAGCTTTTCTGGACAACGGCAGGCAAGATGGGATGAGTCCATGTCCAGCACGGCTCCACATGCTGAGGATGACTCCCAGCACATCATAACCAAGTATGTGCAAGCACCACAGTTCAAATGGACTGGGGGCCAGAGCTATAGAGCAGCAGGTGAAGCACACACCATGCACGCAGCTGACCTGAGTTCTAGCCTGGCTTCACAAACATTCCCGCAAGCTCTGCCGCTGGATGTGGCCCAAACACCCCACCCCCAACCCCATATCCATCCTCCCCCAAAAAATGTACAGACACTGCAATAACAACAAAAGGAAAGGAAAAAACAACTTTAAAATAATTTTAAAACAAAAGGATTTTTTCTCTTGTGGAGGTTTTTTCTGATCACCCTTTATGACTTTTCTCTTTTCTAAAGTCTACCCGCAAACACAAGTACTCAACTCTGCAATGAATTTTTAGCATATTTTCTTTTTTATTTATTTTTGGTTTGGGGGCCACACCTGATAATGCTCAGGGGTTACTCCTAGCTCTGGTTTTCTTCTCTGATTCTTTTCTTTCCCTTTTCCTTCTCTTCCATCTGTTTCAGTGACTTCAGGGTCACACATGCTTGGCTGTGGTACTCACACACTTTGGCTGCTATGCTTTGTACAGTGACCAACACGACTGTGGGCCAGAGCACCACACTATGTGGCAGATCAGGATCCCAGATTGAGACCTGCCTCATTGCATTGGGGCAGCACTGAGGGGTCAAATTCATGGCTTCAAGACTGGAAAAACAGATACTTTTAACCACTGAAACTCTCCCTGGAAGGCTTACTCTAGACATATTTTGTAAAACCCAGAGAACTCATATGTAATCTCCCGAAAGATTCCATAACAATCCATAACAATGTGCATATTCTTAATCTACTACCTTCAATTCATAATTTTTCTCAAGAGCAGAGATAGATCATTACATGGTGAATTCTTACCAATATTTCTACCTCAAATCAGTAGCCTACTATTTTCTAACCAATATTTCTACCTCAAATCAGTAGCCTACTATTTTCTAACCAATATTTCTACCTCAAATCAGTAGCCTACTATTTTCTATCTTAAGATGTAGATTAATTTTGATAATATACCATTGTAAGGTATATCTCGATTAAACTTTCAAAAACAAACTTTCAGAACTAAGTTTTACTGTTACTGGATACTTCTGTTTTTTTTTTTTTTTTGTGTGTGTGTGTGTGTGTGTGTGTGTGTGTGTGTGTGTGTGTCAGAGTTCTCACACACATTCCTGCCTTTGGTTCTTTCGCGCACAAGCTTTCCTGGTCCCAGTTATCAAACCCAGGGTTCTCACACACATTCCTGGCCCATTATTACTTTTAATGCCACTTACATGATCTCAGTAGAAAGAATAAATGACTATGAAGTATTTTACTGCTCTTTATTATTAATTCTTCAGCAACATTTCCAAAATCAATTCATTATTTTTAAATATCACTTACACACATAAACAGATCTTAGATCCTGTTTTTCAAACAGAAGGAACCTCTTGTTTCCTTATAAATATATCCACCTAGATAATTTAGGTAATCCTTAATCAGCAACCACTGAGGCCAGAATTTTCTTGCACATATTTACATAACTTCCATTCATTTGTTTGATCATCATGTTATAAAATACTAAGGGAGGCAAAATGGGAAAGACTGGATCTATCATGAATATGATATAATTAGAGAAAACTTAAAACCATGGATATAAAGATAAGCAGAGGAAATATGAAAATTCCTGTAATTTAAAAATTATAGCAAATTAACTTTCAGTTAAAGGTTATTTTTAAGAAAAATATCAGCTACCCTGCACAACATAACGATACCAATTATTCCTTTATCAGGAAAAAGTTTTACTGTGCAGAACAGTAACATTTTATGAGTATAGTTTAAAGCTCACCTAACTCAAGACTAATCCTGAAGCAGCATACTTCTATGTAGAAAATTTTCATTTACTTGACTTGCTGGCTTTGAGATTACATAACTCTTAATGCATTATTAATTTGAAGGAATTCACAGTACTCTAAAATTTGTACATGGGGCTGGAGTGATAGCACAGCGGGTAGGGCGTTTGCCTTGCACGCGGCCGACCCGGGTTCGATTCCCAGCATCCCATATGGTCCCCTGAGCACTGCCAGGGGTAATTCCTGAGTGCAGAGCCAGGAGTAACCCCTGTGCATCGCCGGGTGTGACCCAAAAAGTAAAAAAAAATAAGTGTATATATTTTTTAAGATTGAATATTTTTATTATAAGATTCCAAATTTAACCTAATTAAAATGCCAAAAATTTCAACAGCACTGAACTTGAAGATGACTTTAAAAGTGCAAATACCTAAAATAATATGACATGAATTAATATAAAGCACAGTTTATCTGGAAATTAGAAGAAAATACACCCAACAAAGGGAACTGCTGCATTTGTCTGCTGATGCTAGAAATTAAATAATAAGCAATTAAACTATAACCAAAAAAGTTGTAGGAGTAATAAAGCTGATTAACAGAGTGGCTATCACTTGCATTAAAATGTCAGCAAAAATGTTAATTTTCATATATTTAAATCATTAACAATATAATTTAGAAGAGACAGCATTTATGACCTGAAATTCAAAATGTGCCAATAGTGTGAAGATAATATCTAACAAACTATTTATTATCCCCAGTATCTATTCTATCCTTCCATTTAGTGAAAGAACTTCCTGGGCATACAGCCAATGAGCTATGGTCCCTAGCAGTTACGTGTGGTTCATGACTAAGTTCTAGAAAAATAAAATGTTAGCATAAATTACATATGGAATTTCCAGAGCATGCCTTTATAAGGAAGTAGTGTGCTATCCACTTCTTCTTTCTCTCTTTTGAAGTCCAGTTTCAGTCACATATATGGCAACACCAAAGAGAATAGCAAAACTTGACAGACAGTGAAATTCTAGATAATGTCATGTTAACAGAGTTGCTTATATCTCTTGAAGCATTCTTGAAGCTTTCTATTTACTCTAGTCACTATATGTATAATCTCTGTTATAGCCATTTAGCCTATACCTATTTTTTTACTAAAGCAGGCAACATTCCATACGGCACAGATGACACCAAATATTATTTCCTGCTCTAGGAAATATAGGACATCTTCTATAGAAAACCTATCACTAGCGCATACCCCAAAAAACAATCATTAAGATAATTACTTGGAAGGGGCCAGAGAAGTATAAAAGGAAGTGTTCTTGCCTTGCATGCAGCCAACCCAGGTTCCATCCCCAATATCCCATATGGTCCCCACACACAGCTAGGAGTGATCCCTGAGTTCAGAATCTAGAGGAAGCCCTGAGCACCAAGAGATATAGTCCAAAAAAGAAAACAAAAGATTACCTGAAGACTGAAGAAAGCATTATTTCAAGCCTGGGAAGATGGCTCAAAAGCTGAAGTACATCCACCGTATGTGGAAGGTTTGGGTTCAATCCCCAGCACAGACTGTGTTCTCTAACATCTTGTGAATAAACCCCAAGCACTGAATTGGGAGTATCCCCAGCCACTGTGGGATACTCCCAAACACCAAAACAAAGAGAAGGTATTTTAAAAATAAATAAATAAAAAGTATTTCAGCAGTATTTAACTTAAGGGCTGAGGGTGCAGCTCAGTCGCAAAGCATCTGCTTTGCACATGTGAGGTCATGGATTGGAAGATCCCAGGATCACACACACAGGTAAAAATAAACATATTTATCTTGTATTAAAGAAAAGAAAATAATGGTCTTCATACATTTGGAGGACATATCATAGAAGAGTAGACTTAGATGACCTTACATTTTGTTGCTGATGCTATTGTTTTGTGGACACACCCAGTGGTGCTTAAAAACTTACTCCTGGCAGGGGCTGGAGCAATAGCACAGCGGGCAGGGCATTTGCCTTGCACAGAGTCGACCTAGGTTCGATTCCCCACATCCCATATGGTCCCCCAAGCACTGCCAGAAGTAATTTCTGAGTGCATGAACCAGGAGTAACTCCTGTGCATCGCGGGTGTGACCCAAAAAAAAAAATAGAACTTACTCCTGACTCTGCACTCAGGGATCACTTCTGGCGGTGCTAGAGGAACCATATGTGGTACCTGGGAAGGAACTTGGGTCAGCAGCACCCAACCCTAAGGATTCGGTCCTTAGACTTACATTACCTTAAAAAGTTACAGAAAAAATTCACTCCAAGTTCATTACATACAATTAGCAGGAATTG